GCAGTTTTAAGGGCATTAGCAATTCTTCGATTTTCCAAGTGCTGACATGTGAAGCCATCGTTATATTGCCTTGAAATACATGGAATGAATGAATTGAAAAAACTAGTCAAGACAAAAAGAAATTTTTGCGAATGATGAAAGACATTTTTGATTGCATCGCAATGTAGTTTTTTTACAAATATATAGTCAAATAGTTGTTAATGTTCTTTCCAATCTCGAAAAATATGGAATTATTCCTTAGATTATATGTAATATATAACCCAAAGGTAGCGTGCGTGCTTCAACGCCTGCTATTTTTCGATAATCAAATGTTGCATATCAAATTGTTTCTTTTTCAACAGTGTGCTGCCTTGACATCTTGTAATTATAATAATATAATAGTATTAATAATATTAATGATTACGAAAAGCAAAATATTATCAATAAAAATCTTGTAATTACCCAGCAATGATCTGTTCCGCGTTTTGAATTCCAATTAAAATATTAAAATATTTATATAAAATAAAAAAAAAGTACCTCTGGTTAGTTATTAACACGTCTTCTTTAGGAGACCCAAACCAAACCAAATAACAACACTCACGTTTTGTCACCTTGGACTCTGTCAAAAAATAAATTGTTTTTTCCCAAAAAAAAAAAAAAAAAAAAAACCAATTCGCGTCTGTCCTACCAAAAAAAAAACCAATAGGATAAATAATTAATATTAACATGTACACTCACCTACCATAAATATCCGACCACCTGAGTCGTGTAACGTCAAATGAAAAGAGTCCTTACTAAAAAAGCAACGTATTCTTAAATAAAACCTTTCTTCCTTTACTAAGTAGATTTGTACTTGATATCAAAATCTCCAAATTACAAAAGCTTCGAAAGGTTTGATATGTTATTAACGGAAACATTTAGCAAATAGTTCAAAAAACCAAATTTTCAATTGTAATCTTTACATGTAATATAGGTCAAATTTCTTCGTTGTAATGTAACTTCATTAATAAAACGTGCTCAACGTAACAGATTACATATATCTACAATATGGTGTTGGCATAAATTAGTTCGTGGAAGGGGTTTAAAAAAGTATCCGACCACCCCGTAATTTTATTATATAAAACACTTAATAAAGTCGACAAAATGCAAATTTTAAGGTTTACGTTTTATTGTCAATACTTGATCAATTTTTAACCATATATAATTCAAAATATTTTAAGTGAACTTACTTAATGACACAATCCATGATTCAACAGAGTTTTGAACCTTTTTACTAAGCTCAAAGTTTTCATAAAAATCACGAAATTTTTTGTCTAATTTAAAATTTTCATCCTAAATTCATTAATAATGCAAACTCGACGAGACTTTAAGTTTATATTCAAATTAACTTTTAAAAACATGTTTACTTAATGCACAGTCCCGGTTTGATTAATAAAAATTTTGAATTGCATAAGGCGTGACATTTCCGATTATTAAAATGATCATCAGGTGGTCGGATGGTAGGAGAGTGTCAAATTTTATTAATTTACCACGTGATTTCCCTACCCACCTCACTTTCTTTATTATAATGATTTCTTTAATTAGGGTTTTTTATAGAAATGTATAAATAATTCCCAAACAATAACACCAACCTATCAGACAAAAGAACTTGGCAAAGATTATGTTACAGATTCAGATAGTAACAGTGATTTTAGTGAATCAGAATTTGAACATGAAATTGAAGATACGCAAAAAAAGGACAATGAGAATAGTGATTAATGATCTAAGCACAAGAACGAAATAGGTACCAAATCAGGAAGTGAAGAAGAGGAAGCGAAATAATCATTTTCTTAATATTAAGCATATGGGCGGATTCTTACACCAAATGGTCATACAACTTCCAAAATTATGAATTATGTGTATTTTTAACTGCTTTACAAGCCTATCAAAAAATAATAATTTTTATTGTAATATGTATCATATAAAAACGGAAGCTTATTTATTATTTTAGTATTAGAGAGAAAAATTTCTTAAGATAGAAAAAATAAAAATCAATGATTATTAATATATATATATTGCTAATGTTTAATTTTTTTAATGATGATTATGATTTGCACTTTGAGGAGAACGGATATAAGAATGACTTTCAGTGAATAGCTTCTACTATGACTTATAGAAGAACCAGATTGACTTGAATATGAAATGTAAGAACTATAATAATAAGACCTTATAAACAACAAACTGATGATCTATATCTAGAATACCTTTTTGTGTATCTCATAATTGCTTTTTACCATAGAATGAATGAAGAAGAAGGCGATGATAGAAATAGCGATTAATATATAAATTATATTTTATATATATTTTAAAAATTAATACAATGTCTACATCTAATTGGAGGTGGTGATGGTTGATGGTATGGAACAAATCTACAAGATAACATATTTCCATCAAGTATATTGTGTTAGTTAATTACATTATTTTATTAACAATTAAGAATTAATGATTAATGTATTGATTACCGATCTATATAACCTATAGTTCTTTCTGTATCATTCCTAGTTTCAAAACTGGACCTCTATTTGTTTGCCCTTTTAAAATTACAATTAATTAATATTGCATTCATATAAACTTTAAATAAAATACCATCACATACATTTTTCATCAATAAATGCTTCTATTTGATTAATCCTACCAAATGCACCAAATATTCCTTGTAACGTGCTTTTTTTTTCACTGGATTTACAAAAATCAATACAAGGGAACATATCCCACAAAAAGTATAAAGTGGAATAGTTGAGGACTTAGGTTTCTATGCTCAACGAAATTCCAATATTCATTTAATGAAAATAAATATTTTCTTTCTCTATTTGAAAGGATAATATGATTCTTTGACATTTTTTGTTAATTTATTAACCATAATTTTTGTAGAAAGTACAGGCGACAAAGAGGAATGTCGTTGTCTATGTGAAGAAGTATAACTATGATGACGTGAAGAAGATGGCGGTAGTGGCAGAAGAGTTACAACCTCTTGTTATTGTTGATGCTCTGCTGGTGATCTATTTTCTCTACGACTAGAATAAGAATAAGAATGTTGACTTCTTTGAATGTGATACAGAATGTGGAGGTTGACTCCTTTGATCAACCTTTACCTTCCGATGTTCCCGTCATATATCGATCGATAAATTGTCAGGTTTTAAAAAATAAAATCGCTAATATTAATAATAATAAACATAGAAACATACATTTTACATGTTATCGATGTATTTAAGCTTTTTTAGCAGCAATAATAATTGGGCAGCAACAATAATGGTAATTTTATAGCAATAATAAAAGTCAAATAATAAGACGTTACCATTTTAAGAAAATCATCACTTTTTGATTAAAAAAAAAAAAAAATAAATTTTAATATAAAATGGAAAGAAATTCATCAAAATCATCAACGCAAGGACAAAACAATGTTATGTTTGATGATAACAATAATACAAAATCATCACCTACACCATCATCTACACCAATATTATCATCAGCAACAACTGCAAAAGAATTCAAAGTAGAAGAAGATGACGAGGAAATAAAAGAAGATGCATATAATGAGGAAACAGGAGAAATTAATTGGGACTGTCCTTGTCTAGGAGGAATGGCAAATGGACCTTGTGGCGAACAATTCAAAGCGGCATTTTCTTGTTTTGTTTATTCAAAAGAAGAGCCAAAAGGTGTTGATTGTCTTGATGCATTCAAAGAGATGAACAATTGTTTCAAACAACATCCTGATGTATATCATGATGGTAATCAATATAATTGATATTTTTATGATGTTTCTCTTTTCTTTTTGTGAATTAATTAGTTATTTGAAAAAAAATTTTTAGAAATTAAAGATGATGATGATGATGATGATGAATATGACGATGATGAATATGACGATGATGAAGATTATCAAAAAGATAAAGATGATAAAGATAAAGATAAAGATGATAAAGTTAATAAATCATGAAATTTTGGAATTAAAAAATTTTATAGATGAAATTTTAATCTCTAGCTTCCCAAAAATTCAGTTTAGAAAGTTTTGATTTAGTTGGCTTTACTAATTACTAATTTTAATGTAAGGAAGAAATTGTTCCTGTTCCATCTTCTTTTGTTTTTATTACAAAAAAGAAATTCTTTGATTAAGTTTCTTATGTTTTTTATTAAAATTTAAAAATTTTCCTCAGTTGGCCATGACTCATCATCACAACCAATTTTTTCTTCAAATGTAAGGTTTAAGACATTCTGGGATGAGTTCACTCAAGAACTCCTTAAAAAACTACCAGTAATTCACTGTACCCAAGTCAATTGGATGCCTCTTTGCTCTTGAGTCATGGATTACAGCTGATTTGACTAAACTAACATGATTAAATCATATTATCTTTCTACCTGATAGCATATAGAAAGAGGTTAAAGATGTAACTTCTTTATCCTTCCTCTAAAAACCCCCTTCACCCAGGAAAGCTCTTAAAATCAGACTTTACCTAATTCAAAGAAAAATAATTGGATTTATTATATGTCTGGCAGTAGTTAATATTGATGTAAAAAATAAAAAGTCAATATTTATGTGATAATTATGTCAATAAATCTGAAAATTTGAGGGCTTTGATCTCAAATTGTTTCTTGATACTCCTTATAGTGTTAAGGAGGCAGCAGTGATTGACTGATATATTGAATAATTATAATTCAAACGTTGCTGCAAAAAAAAGGAATTTTAAAGTTTAGATTTAAAAAAAGACAAATTACAGTCAATTGTCATTAGATTAACAGATTATGAAAGAATAAGAAGTGACTGTTCATTCCTTAAAGATATTAAGAAATATCTTGATTAATATATGATTGTCATCTCACCTTGGCGAATTCTGTTTGTGCACTTGAAATTAAGGAAGAGTACTAAATTTTTGATAGTCGAAGAGGATAGAGATGCCGGCATTATTTCTCTTAATCTAGGAGTGATGATCAGATATAGCCCAAGCAATAAATTTATAGAATGGGAAAGGAATACAAGTAGGGATTCTATCAATGGTATAAGTTCCGTTTATGTATGCTCTGAATCCACAAGACAATTCATAATCTTGTCATCAAAAATCGGCAAAATGGTTATGTGAAAATCACCATTTTGTCTTAAAACACAAAGACATGGCCAAAGAAGTTTTAGAAAAATTCAATTTAACAAATGTTGACCTGGTCACATTACTGATCGAGAAGTCATTTGGCCCATAAATCCCGCGAGTATCGATAGTCGTCTACTACACTGAGGAATATGCTAATAAAACGTGAGGATGTTTTAAACAAAATCTGGATCCTTTATATGTACATCTTGCAATTCCGTCATCGATAGAAATGTAAACGGAGCCCATGATGTACTTTTATAGTATATTTACAGGAACACGACAGGATTCGCTCGCGACGTTGGAACTCACATCCAAGGTACTCTACCTACCTAGGATTTGTGCTTAGGTATAGGTTTCAATTTCAATTAATTTGTGCAATAATAATAAATTTTTTTAAATACGGATTCCGCAGATTTCGAACACAAACATTGAAACTAATACTAATACCAATACTAATACTAATTTGTCATACAACATTTATAACGACGAAAATTCATTATTATTATTTTTGAATTAATAATTATTATTATAAAAATATGGAATTTTATCAAGGCTTATCTTTTAACTTAAGCCATATTTTAGATGAATCCGATGATTATGATATTATAATTTATGCTGGTAAAGAACCAAACGTTAAAAAGTTTCATGCTCACACAGTCATTTTACGTGCAAGGTCTCCTTATTTTCGCAGAGCTTTGTCAAGAGACTGGGTTAGAAAAGAGGATGGTTCAATTATATTTCAAAAACCTAATATACCACATCAAGTATTTGAAGTAATTCTCAAGTCAGTATTGTTGTTATTATTTTGACTTTAGTCTACAAAATAACAATAACTAATGATTTATAAATCCAGATATATTTATGGTGGTAAGGCTAATTTATCTAAACAAGAAGGAGATATTATTCTTAATTTGTTAACAGCTTCTGATGAATTGAATCTACAAGAACTAATTGCATATGCGCAAGATTATCTTATTAAACAAAAATCAGATTGGTTACAACAAAATCTTATTGAGGTTTTGTCAACAGTAGCATCTTTAGAACCATGTAAGAATCTTCAAGGTTTCTGTTTGGGAATGATTTGTCAGGATCCTTGTTGGTTATTTAATTCAGATAATTTCTGTGCGCTGGATGAATCTATCCTGATTCCACTTTTAAAACGAGATGATTTATTGATGGAGGAAATAGAAATCTGGGAACACTTGGTTGAATGGGGTATAGCACAAAATTTATCATTAAATAATAAAAATGTATCAAAATGGACTTTGGAAGATTTTGAGTTATTGAAAGTTACTCTTCAACATTGTATACCATTAATTCGCTATTTCAATATTGACTCGGCTGATTATTATGATAAGGTGAGACCTTTTGAAAAGATTTTGCCTGTTGAGCTAAGAGAAGATATTTTACAATATTATATGAAAAAAGGACAAGTTAATCAGCTGGGCTCAGTAATATTGCCACCACGAATTATAGGAATTGATTCAAACATTATTAAATTTAGACATATAGCTCTGGTTTCAAAATGGATAGAACATAAAGAAAATTATGTTGGTGTGACAAAACAAAGCATAAATTTTAATTTGCTGTTGCGTGGCAGTAAGGATGGTTTTTCAGCTACAACATTTCATAACTTGTGTGACAATCAAGGACCAACGCTTGTTGTTTTAAAAGTTAAGGAAACAGGTGAGATTCTTGGTGGGTATAATCCATTAAGTTGGCTGGGATATAATTCATCCGAAAGAGAAAATAGCTGGATGGTTGCTAGTTCAGCCTGGCCAGTACCTAATCGACCAAGACATAGTTCAACATTTGGAAGTTTTGGACGTTTATCATCATATGATTCAAGTCCATATCAGAGCACAATCGACAGTTTTATATTTTCATTGGGAAATGGACAAAATATGGCAAATGCAAAATTAAGTAGAGTCTTGCAGGATAATATACAATTTGCTGTTTGTTCTTCTCAGAGACTTGGCCCGTGTTTTGGACAAACAGATTTGAGAATGAATGATAGTTTTAACTTGCCAGCAAAATGCACATGTCAATGTTACGATTATGATAAAGAAATTTGTGAATCGCAAAGTTTTTCAGTTGAAGAATTTGAAGTTTTTCAAGTTGTAAATAAAGATGATCCAGCATTAAATGCTCCATCACCTGTTCAAGTGCCAAGAGAAGTTCCAAATTATCCAACTGCTTGGTGAGATTTTTTTAAAATTAATAAAATATTATTATATATATATATATATATATATATATTAACATTGTTTTTATTTTTAGGGGCGAATTTATACATTTTTAATTTAAAGACAATTGTACAAAAACGAATCTTATTATTTTTATCTTCATATATTTGTGAATATGTTAAATATTGTAAATTAATTTAGAAATTTTTTTAATAATCTTATCTTTTTGTATAATTTTTTGGTATTCATATTTAAATGTGTTTTTAAATTATTATAATAATGACCAATAAATACAATCTTTGTAAACAAATAAATAAGTAAATTAATTAGTTGATTCAATAATCATACAATCCAAGTAAATTTCTTTCAAGTATCACAATAGTAACTTTACCAATAGCAGGAAAAAATACACTAGCCTTTTCTCTAACACCACCTTCAAAATTTTTATAAGTAGAAAAATTTATAACAACAACACCATCACGTAATAAACATGTAGGTAATTCATAGATTGATGTTGGAACTTCTGTCACAACTATATCTGAAATAGGAGCCACGTCTTTTAATTTAAGATTTGTTCCACAACCCTATTTTAACAAATAAAAATAAATTTTTCATATATAAATATATAATTTTTATGAGAGAGTGAAAGAGATATAAAAATCATGTTTTTTTAATTTTAGTCCTGTGTCATGATGGAATTCGAGAATATTATTTATATCAATATAAATATACCTTTGCACTATCATTTGCTAATAAAGTAGCAAGTGGATACCCGACGATCTCACTACGATTGATTAATCACTGTAATATCACGTCTATGTAACCTATTTCCATAAGGTAGGATTGAACTATACATTCCAATATATTCCAACATCTAAATTAATTTCCAAATATTCACCAAAAAAATAAAGTTATAATATGATATTAAAATAAAGGTTTAAATATTTAAAGAAATAAGTAAATTAGTAATCATGTAATTGAAGTAATAAATAAATGATTCTGAATAATTAAATGCAATGTGATAGATAATTCACTGATTTTAGAGATTTTTTCCCACATTTATTTATACCTCAACTATAGCTAATGGTGTACATGAGATAATCCATTTTTAGTTTATTCAAATATCGAATGTTATCCATTATACATATTATATACGTATTTGTGGCATATTCCCTTTACATCTTTGAAGGTAAATGTAATTAATATATTCCCAAAATTATATAAACAATAATGCAGTTATTTTATCAAATAAAAAAAATATAGACCTGACAATCTCCAAATGCAAGTTAATAAATCATTATCCATGCATGATGTCATTTTCATTTGCTTCAATGATGTTTCCTTCTGATTTTTCTCTACCACATTATCTTTATTCAAATATAACACATGTCTCTTTGCTTTGTTGATCAATGGGGTCATGAGACATAATTACTTTTAAGTTGAACCAGTTTAATTCCATTATATGTTTATCAACAAATAAAATAGATGATAAACTTGTTATTATTAAAATGAATCTGAGCAAAGTCTCTAAAACATGGTGACACTCGTTATTAGAATTTTCTTGATTTTTACCCTAAAAACAAAGAATTGTTTTATCAGATTAAATTTTCATTAACATAATTATTTTTTTGCATTAAGATGATCTATTTAAATAAATAAATCTCACAAGATTAGCCGAGGGATCATTATTTAGAAAACCTACAAGTTTTGGACGAATTTCTTGTAAACCTATAAATCTTGTGTATCAACGAAATTTCCGACGATCACGACAAAAATCAGTGAATGAATGAATTGATTGCTCTTTGGAAATTACCCGCACCCTCCTGTCTCAGAGGATTCAAAACAATTCCATTTTTGCTTCGCCGTATGTTTCTCGGTTTATCATGACACAATTGTTGAAACAGGAAAGGAGGGTGGATGTAATCTAATTTCAAGGCAATATAACGATGGCTTCACATGTCAGCACTTGGAAAATCGAAGAATTGCTAATGCCCTTAAAACTGCAAAAGTTCTTAAAGATAGACCTTTTGGATAAGCAACGTATGTGCTATTTGAGGCCTTTTCAGTAAATTGCTTTGTTTTGTATTTTATGCATCATTAATCAAATTCATAATTTTATAGACCAGGAAAAAAAAGGATTCCTTCGACATAATAATTCTGAGAAAACGAGTACTCAAAAAAGGCGGTTGTTTTTTATAAGTTTTGTTTATTTAAATTTATTAATCATCTGTTTTAATGGTCTGCCTTTTGTATGAGTAAGAATCCTGATTTATCTTTCAATCGAAGAAAGAATCTATCCGATCAAGAAAAATAAATGCGTTATGGATATTTAGTTAGTAAAGTGGCTTGAAATACATGGAATGAATGAATTGAAAAAACTAGTCAAGACAAAAAGAAATTTTTGCGAATGATGAAAGACATTTTTGATTGCATCGCAATGTAGTTTTTTTACAAATATATAGTCAAATAGTTGTTAATGTTCTTTCCAATCTCGAAAAATATGGAATTATTCCTTAGATTATATGTAATATATAACCCATGTTATGGTCATATCAAGTAAGGAAAGTAGAAAAACAAAACTAAATTCCTGTTGAAGAAAAAAAAACGGAAGAAAATGACCCTGGAAGTTGCCATCTTTGGCTAAAATGCAGAAGTTACTTTGAACGTCAGAGGCTTTACAATATTTTAAAAATAAAATAAAAATAATAGTAAATATTGTTTAGCCATTCCAATTTCTAAAGAACACTTTCTTTCTCCATCAAAAAATTTTAAACTATTTTGGCAAGAATATCTTTTTTTGAGTTAATTTATGGATTCTCCTCTCCTGTGAGAAGCTTCAAAATTTTTGATAGTTTAATAGTTGTATTTTGATATTAATATTAAGGATTAAAGTTACACAATATGCTTTTTTAATCACATGTTAAAAATTGAAAAATGAGTCTTTATAATATCAAAAAAAGCTTTTTAAAGAAAAATCCATTTCAACAATATCTTGTTTTAAAAAGATGCTATTTGTCATCACAACCAATAGCAAGAGCAATTACTTTTAATAAATATGGTAATCCAAAAGATGTACTTTGGTAACTTAAATTAATTAACTTTATTAATTGAACTTTACTGATTGTTTGATAAATAATTAAATAATCATTCATTCATTTAGTGTTCATAGCTATCGCTTACCACCTTTAACACAAACAACCATATACTTGAAATTTTTGGCATTTCCCATAAATCCATCAGATATCAATCAAATTGAAGGTGTTTACCCTGCAAAACCTACATTCAGGAAATTAGCAGTCATTGATAATAATAATGAAAACGAGAATGAATTTGCAATAGCAGGAAATGAAGGCGTCGCCGAAGTGATTGCTGTTGGTGATCAATTAAATAATGATTTTAAAGTTGGTGATTGGGTTGTAATGGGGAAACCAGGATTTGGTAAAATTTAATTTTTTATTTATCTATTAATGAAAAAATAATAATAATAATAATTCATCATATTGATATTTTGCCAGGTACATGGTGCACACATGCTATTGCAAATGGAAACGAAGTCACTCGTATTCCTAATGACGGAATTGGTTTGATTCAAGCAGCAACATTAACAGTTAATCCATGTTCAGCTTATCGAATGTTAAAAGATTTTGTTGTTGATTTAAAAGAGAATGATTTTGTGATTCAAAATGGTGCAAATAGTGGTGTTGGTCAATCAATAATACAAATTGCAAATGCACGGGGAATAAAAACTATAAATATTGTTAGAAACAGGTTTTATTATTATTCTAATTATCAATTAATTGTATTAATTGACCAATATTATTGTTGTTGTGTGATTTAGGGTACTCTTTACTCACTTTCTTGATATTTTTTTGTGGATATGCATCTGTATGATATACATATAAAGACCAGATATAGATGAATTAAAATCACATCTTGGTTCACTTGGTGCTACTTATACAGCAACTGATGAAGAATTATCTCATTTTAAATTCAAGAATACTATTAAAGATTTATTATCAGAACATAAAACTTCAAATGGTATTAGACTAGGTTTGAATTGTGTTGGAGGAAAAGCAACAACTGATATGATAAAACATTTAAGGTGTATATATATTATTATTAATTAATTAATTAATTAATTATAAATTATAAATTACCAACTCATTCACTCATTTAATGATAGTGAATCAGGGCATGTTGTAACATACGGAGCAATGTCTCGTCAACCAATCACAATTCCTGCATCTTTATTAATCTTTAAAAACATCAAATTTCATGGATTTTGGATGGCAAAATGGAATGAATTGCATCCAAAAGAGGAGCGCCTCAAGATGCTTGAAGAAATTGTTTCATTGATGAAAGATGGCAAATTCACTGATATGAGGAATGAAGTGACAGTTTGGGGTGATGAAAATGATAATGATGAAACTTTGAAAAAGAAATTCTTTGCTGTTTATGACAAAGCTGGTGCAGCATTTAGTGGAAAGAAACAAATTATAAAATTAAAAAATACCAATTAATTAAATATATAAATAAGAAATTATGTCATTATGTATAAATTGCTTAGATAAACTTTTTTGAATTTTTCTATATAAAGCTATTGCTAACAAAAAAAAAAAGGTTATCATCTTACAATTAACAAGCAGTTTGATAATTTCCTTCTCTTCAAGATTCTTTTCCCTCTTTCAACTTGAAGTAGTAATGGCTCCGAAATTCGAATCAACATATACTATCTAATATATAAATAAATTAACCCAATGAATCATGCGTTTATTGATTTAATATATACTATCTAATACATAAAAATTTTTTGTTCTGCGAATCTCGTTTCAACGGATTATAATTAAATTCGCGTTACAATGAATTTTTGATTTTTTTGCTTCACATGTAAAATTCGTTGAACGCGATTTTAATGCAATGTCACATCCTATAAAAATTATGTACGGAATAGGTACTAGTACTAATACTGGTACTGAATACATACTAATACTAATGCGAATGTTAATGCTAAAATACAGACTATACAACGGAAAAATAAAAGGGAACATTACGTAGAAGATTCTTGAATAAAAGTATGAATAATGAAAACAATTTTAGTAATTTATATAATTTATTTTACTAATAATTATTTGACCACAATTATGTATAATTTTTATGAAAAGAAACTTTATGTAGAAGATTTCTTGAATTCAATAAAACAGAAGTATGAAAATAACAAAAAAACAAATTTTAATATAATAATAATAATGATGATATATGGGGAAACCAGACAAAGTGAATATTGATATTACCAGGGATCAATATCACAATTGTACTGCCAATGTAATGTGATCATGATATTTGTTCTTTCTTGGGATTGACAAAAGTAAAGATGGCTCTGCAACTAAAGAGTTGCAAAATTCAAAACCAGGAAAAGTGAACATTTATACACCAAAGAAGGACCCCAGGCCAAAAGGAAATTTGTTGGCAGTTAAAAATAAGTAATAATTTCATTAAGTTACAGAGAATTTTTTTTTGCGAAATAATCTAAAGTCTAAACGTGATTCTATATTTCTGCACGGCAAATCATACACTTAGCAACTTTTTTGAGTACATTTTTACATGCTACCAAACGGTCAACTTTTTCCCAAACAAACCTTACATCGTAATTTTCTTCGATTAGTGATCCAGTGATGTTCTTTTCTTTCGCACGGTTTTTTTTAAAATATTCAATACGATTCTTCGTGCTGATGATTTCTTGTTTAAAGTTTCTATTCGTCGATTAGATCTCCAGGTTTCTCATTGTCGGCAAAAAAATCTCTAGTCATCAAATATTGTTCCACCGCGGGAGAATTTCTCAATAACTTCATGATCAGATTTATCTTTGATGGGCTCGTCAAAATCTAGGTCGCTGATCATTTCATTCTCTTCTTTTACACATCGTTTGATAAAGAAAAGTTTTTTCATGTGTATTTTAGGCCCTTTTCCCATTTTTTACACTTTTCTTTATTAAATATACATAAAAACATCTTACCTTTATTTAAATCTTCGATTTTAATTCTTTTATTGTTTTCACTCCTAAGAATAACAGTCGTATTAATAATTAGATGTGAACCATTCTTTTAATAATTAACTAGCAGAGATCGCAGTAACCACCCCACCATTCTTATGATAAAAACTTATAAACTTAGTTTTGCCCGATTTCTTCTAATTAATATATAATGTTTGGAAAATAATTCTCTGATGAAAATAAAAATTCCAAAAATACAAATACAGTTTCAAATTCAATTCAGTTTTAAATGAATTATTACTAGAGGCAGCTGATGATGATGGTAACGATAATAATGTTGCTTATCCACCTGGTCCAAGTAATTACATAAGTGGTATTAGTGGAAATAGTAATCATGAAAGTAATAATAATAGTATAATAGCTATTGTTGATCACAATAGTTTTAGATCAAATTTCAATGATGTAGGTATTATGACGAACAATTATCAGAGATATTTGGATTAGATTAATAAATTAATAAAAAATTAATTAAAATTTGGAAAAAGTAATAAATTAATTAATTAAAGGACAAATTAAATATACAAGATTCTACCAGAGAAAAATTATCACAAATTTCGATGAATCATAAAAGAATCATAATAAATCAAAACTGTCAATCACGATCAATCAATCAAAAACTTCAAAATATCAAATATTCATCATCAAAAGCTTCTTCAACAACTAAATTAGCAACTTCGCCATCACATCTTCCATTACAACTGCATTCTTCTCAAGAGCGTTTAAAGCAATCACCACAATTAAGAACAATGTTGAACACATCTCCTGACACTGAATCTCACAATAGTTCGGAACTAATTCAAATATATAATTCAGAAGTTGCACCTATTGTCAGCATATCAAGTGATGATGGTGGTGGTGGTAATGATGATATTAATATTATTATTAATGCTTTTTCATTGATTTATTGGCTTTGTTTCAACAACAACAATAATGATAATGATAACAATAAAAATATTACAACAAATGGTTCATTGGAAGAAAGAAGCCAATTACCAATCAATAATAATAATGGCAACAATTCATCAAAGTCTCAAGATTTACCTGAATTTTGTATTGAAAAACTATCACAAAAGTACTATTTATACTATATCATATATATATATATATAAATTATATAATTTACCTAATTTTTTTTTAAAAAATTTTTTTTTCTCTGAAAAAAATTTATAATTAGAAATATTTCATCAAAGCCTTTAATGGAATATCTATTATCTTTACGAACAGTATTATCATCTGCTAATTTTTCTTGGATTAAAGAATTCATTAACAAGAATGGATTAAAGATTCTAGAATCTTTACTTGAAAAATATGCTGTTCTTGATAAAAAGAAGTAAAGAATTGATTAATCAGTCCAGTTTAATTTATATTTTAATACTATTATAGGTTTATTATATATCATTTGCTCTTCTTCTTTTTTAGTGTTGTGTCAAAGTATTCAGATCAATATTATCAAATTCAATCACAATGTTTTTGTTGTATTACGAATTCCAAGGCAAAGATTAATGAAAAAAAAAACTTAAAATTTATTGATTTCTTCTTACTAACAAATAAATTTTAATTAATTTATTAATTTAGGTTGGCAGATGTGAAGTTTTAAAATCACCTTCATTGATCTTGAGAACTGTTTTTTGTTTATTGCTTACTCCAAACAATAAATTATGTACTCAAATTGCAGAGATTCTTTCAGTGTTGTGTGTATGGTCGTTGAATGGGCATATACTGGTAGTTGATGCATTTTCTGATTCACGTGTGATCAATCAGGAAAAATATCTTTTTCAATATTTTATGGGCACTTTTAAAACAAAAAATGATGTTGATGGAAAGGAGGAAGATGGCACATCAATTGAATATAGGGTTACTAGGTTGAATTTAACAAATGTCATTGTTAATAAATCAGAACAAATTGAAGAACGTATTTTGTTACAGGAAGGATTTGTAAGAAAAGAAATCTACAATTATTTTAGAATTATTAAAAAATCTGACCCTCCTGATTCTCTGATAAATCAAATCAACGTCTATAAAGAAGAGCATAAGAAAGATTTTGCTGAATTGAACAATATAGCCCATGAAATAATTAGAGACGCAAAGTATACTTCAATTTTCTGGAAAACTACATATAAATTAACTAATATATTAACAAAATTTACAATAATATTATCGATTAACTAATAGCAATTCATCATATATTATCTATGGATTATTACGACAAATTGAAAATGACGAGAATTTGCACTCTCATATTATTGGATCTCTTGAAAACTTTTTGAAAATTATTTGTAGACCTTCAAACAAGTAAATATGATTAATTATATTTATATTAATCAATTATTAATATTAATATTTAAATAGCTAAAATATTTGTTTAATTTTTGTAGACAAAACAGAATTGAAGTATTGGCAATTATTGAACAATTTATTGAAAAAATCAAAACTACAAATAGTATTAAAGAACGTATGTTTAATTTTTTAATTTCCAACTAATTATTTTTTTTTAACACATTATACTGATACTCGATATTGATGTATAGAGTGGCAAAGTGTTATGAATAATTATAATTCATCTATTCAGCACATAATAGGCAAAAAATATTCATTAGTCAGTGGAATAATAACTGACCAAGAAATTGATTCACTAAAAAAATCAATAAACAATTTGAGTTTAAAGGTAACCAATTAATAATAAATAAGTGTTAAATAATTAATAAATGATATTTCATTATTTTCATTATTATTATTTTGTTTTTAGGTTAAGCAACAATCAAAGATAATCGATAAATTTAAATATATACAAAAACTTAATTCAGATGATGATAATAATAATCTGGATGAAAAAAAATCAATGTTGTCTCTTCAAATATCACAACCAACATCTGATATACTTGACCTTTCTTCAAAATCTCCACAAGCATCACAAATATCATTTTTTCAAAATTTTAAAAATCTTTTTCGATCTTCTCCAAATAATAATATTAAAAATAATAATGATGATATCTCGTCTACCACCACCACTACTTCATCTGGTGCTACATCTATTGCTTCAATAATAATTAATCAGCAATTTAAAGCTCGCAGTCCCCCGCCCCCGCTACCAACAACTCAATTGCCAATATCTCCAAAATTATTAGAAAAACATAATCAGGATATTAAATCTAGTATAACAAAACCAAAACCATTATTACCATCAACAGCAAAAAAGATTGACACCAATTCCATCCTCACAATAAATTCTTCTTCGACTCCTTGTCTTTCTTATTCAAAACTACAAAATTCTACCACAAAAATAAATAAACAATCTCCACCAATACCACTACCAAAAAGAAAATTAACTAATAATAATAATCCATCGTCACCTACTACTTCTATTGCTTCCACTGCTACCATTAATGATAACAATATTATTATTAATACTACAGCATTACCATTATTGCCATCATTATCATCATCATCACCACAACAGACAACAAAATCACTTTCTCAAAATAATTCTAATTTATCACCACCGCCACCACCACCTCCTCCATCATTATCTGCAAGTAAGTTTTCTTCAAAATCAAAAGGGTCACTAAAACAATTATTTTGGAATAAACTTTCGGTAAATGAGATTAATAAAACAGTATGGCAAGAAATTCCTAGTGGTAATATCCCAATTAATTTTGGAGAATTGGATGAGTTGTTTGGCCCAAAAGTTGTTGCCAATCAAAATCCAACATCATCAACATCAACATCACAACAAAAAACAAAAAAGAATACGGTTATCACACTATTAGATTTTAGTCGAGCCAATAACATAGCTATTATGTTATCAAAAGTTAAAATGTCTTATTCTGAAATAAGAGATGCTATTTTAAAAATTGATGATGGAAAATTGTCAATTGAGAATTTGAAATCAATTAAAAAATATGCTCCAACGTTACAAGAACAAATTTTAATCACTCAATATACTGGTGATTTGTCGGTACTTGGTAATGCAGAAAACTATTTCAAGAATATTGCCATGATTTCAAGATTGGCTGAACGATTAACTTGTATGATATTTAGGCATAAATTTGAAAATAAAGTTCAAAAGCTTGTACCTGTAAGCCACTTTCTATATTTATTAATTTACATACACGCATATTTATTATATATGTTTATTAATGATATTGAATTTTTTTATAAATAGAAAATTAATGTGTTGCATGAAGCATTTGCTGAAATAAAATCATCAAGAAAATTCAAAAAATTACTAAAGGCAAATAACTAAAGTAAAAATAAGAATTTAATAATAAATTATATACATCATATTAATAATATTTGTTTGTATATATTTAGACTGTATTGGTAATTGGCAATTATTTAAATACTTCATCATTTCGAGGTAATGCATCAGGATTTCAATTAGACGCACTTCTAAAGGTATTTATTTATATACATTCTCATCATTATTGACAGACAGAAATATTCATTTATTCATGCATTCACTTTATTTATTATTGATTGAATATAGATGAAAGACACAAAGGCAATGGACAGTAGTAATGGAAAAGGAATAGCTACACTTTTACATTATTTAGTATACACCTTAGAAATGTGTCAAAGTGACATTATAAATTTTATGGAAGAGTTACCAAATTTGGAGGCATCAGCTAGAATTTCCACGACTTCAATTTTATCATCTGTGGCGTCATTGTTCTCGGGTGTTTCACAGATCAAAAATGAATTAGAGATTTTAAAGCAAATGTCTCTTCTTTCTTCTACAACTAATTCAGAAATTAAAGATAATTTTATAATAGTTATGAGCGTAAGTTTCATAAATATGTTACATATGAATGTGTATGTATGTGTATGAATATATTATATATTAATCATATTAATTACTACATTGCATTTTTTAGGAATTTATTCAAGGTGCAGAACCAATAATTGAAAAAATTAAAAATATGACAAACGAACTAGAAGAAGAATCGAAAAAAATAGTGACTTATTATTATGGAGAAAATCCAGATGATAAAAAAATTGAAGATTTGTTAGGATTACTTTTAACATTTTCATCTTCATTTATGGTAAATAAATAAATGTTGTGTTGTATTATTATTATCATTATTGTATGATTATTTTTTTTTGTTAACTAATCAATAAATGAACCAATGAATAAAATTTATTTCTCGTAGAAAGCTAAAAAAGAAAATGAAGAATTTACTAAAAAGAAAATACATAAAGGGAAAAATAGTCAATCCAAACAACAGGTAATATATGATTTACTATATTTTAAATGTGAAATTTTCCATAACAAAATAATAATTTTAACAAGTTTTATAGATAGTTTGATACATCGATATAAATTCTTTGAATTATGAACAAGATAATTTGATGATACTATTAAGAATTATTGTCTGGAAACGCTTGAAGATTTTCAATACTCCTTCCTGAATCATAATAACATTTATTATATACAAAAAAAATTCATATATTTCAAATATTAATAACTTTTCTAAAATAAAAACGATTCGCGTCATGTTTTGAACATGTAAACGATATACCCTAAACCATTTTAAACTATTTTGTTTTTTTTGCTTTTGTTGTGAAATCATTGTTATAATATCATCTTCTGATAAAGATACTCAAAGAAAACGATATTGATATTACAATTGTGGAATAGCAGAACCACTTCTGCAAAAGAAATACATTCTAGAACTGGCATCAAAATGTCAACTATCTATTATAATCAAATGAAAAAGGTGAAAAATTGGAAGTGGTCGTCCCAAAAAATTCCTACGCATGAATCAAAAGCAATTGATAAGAACTTTAGCAAGAAAATCATCAAATAATATTGCTGAAGTGTCACATATGACGGTTTCAAGACATTTGGCATGTTTGGGCTACAAAAATAGATTGCCTTTAAAGACACAAAGAAGCGCGTATTAATTGGGCAACTAGACAACTAAATACTTCAATGACAACTCTATCTTCTGATAAGACTACCTTTTAGTTATTCAGAAACACAATAACCAATGGTACAAAGGTGAAAGGCCAGTATAAAGATCAAACTGAAATTTTTGCACGTGATACGAGGAAAAACTTTTCTTTTGCTTCAGAGAAACTATGAATGTAAATTTTTATACGAAAACACAAGCAAGGGATCAATAGAATGTTTGGATTGGCGTTTCCAGCAAGAGAATGACCCAATGCATACAAGTAGGGTTTGTCAAACATTCCTCAGTGAAAAATTTCCCAAGTTTATGGACTGGCCTTCTAAGAGTCCAGACTTAAATCCAATTGAAAAAGCTCTGGGTAATCGTCAAAAGAAATGTGGAAATGCGCAGGCCAAGATCTCTCAGAATTAGAGCAGTATATGATGGAGGAATAGGGTAGAACTCCAAATAATATTATAATTAAACTTATTAGTTTAATGGGAAGATGTGAGATGATAATTGAGTGATTAATTCATAGTTGGTAAATAATATACACACATACAGAGTGTAACAAAAAGTTTAATACCTGGAGATAAATATGCATACTATTTAAAATTACCTACAACTTCGACATTAAATTTACTGATGGTTGATATATTGGATTCGTTGTATGGAATGTAAGCATAACATTAACACGTTTTGGGATAATAAAACATCGATGTTTAAAGGGTTTGTCCTCAAGTTTTGAAGTATGTTCCAAACATTATATTCTTTGACATAATATGGGGCATACTTTAACAAAAACAGACAAAATGAACATTATGCCACAAACACAAAGCAATTTCAAATTTAGTGTATATAATAATAATAATGATTGAACATACACTTCCTTTCATAAGGGTAATAGAATGTAATATCGTCGTCGTATGATAATTCCTCGAATGCCATTTTATATGAAATTCACGCGCGTGAAATTCAAATTAGCCAATCAGAATTTTGTATCCAAATCACCCCACCCCAAAACGATAAAATTCACACGAAATTGATTTTCACGTACATCATCACCATTGTTCCACTGAAATATCTTTTTCTTCCCATGTCTTGATTGCTTCCGAATTCTCAAATATCAATTTCTTCCTAATATCAAGATAAGCATTGATTTTCAATTATTGAGATTTTAAAAACAATTCTGGACTTTTAACAATTAATTTGTTGCGATAATTTTAATAAAGTGAAATTTTTTTTAAATTCGTCAAGGGGCCAACCAACCATTTTGCCCATAACACTTTCTTTTAATTCCATCGTGATTGTTACTTTTCATGGTATTCTTCTCGATTGATTATTTGTTTATTCTAATTTCAAGGTTGAGAAATTTTGATTGAAGGTAAATTCAAATTAAATCATTATTAATACACATACTCTCTCTTTCCATTTCATTGATTTCAATCTTTGAGTTTTACACACAACCACAAGAGTATCCTTTTTAAAGAAAATGAAACATACTTTCAAAGCCAATACCGAGCAACCAACCACGATAAATAGCTGTTTTGGCATATTAATCAATTCTTTACAGTACTACATATGGACACTAAGTTATCCAAAGAAAATTCTTTGATGGTTAATGAAAATCAACATTAACCAATAAATCGGATACAACTATAGAAGAAAAAGATCGCGGAGCAGTAAGTATCTATGGCAAGAAAGAACTTTTTTAATATTACTTGAATTTATATATGTTTTGCAACCAAGTTGAATAATAATAACATTATAATTATATAATGAAACTGAAAACTTTATTATAGTGACAGTATGTAATGAGTGACATTATAATATCATTCTTTAATAGAAGCGACTCTGCATGAAAACACCTTTTACTAAGAACACGTTTTAGCTCGACCAATGATGTTCTCGTGTAGAGCATTTAAAAAGAAATCTTTCCGAAGCACGAGAAGCAACATTGAAAGTATGAATACACGCATGCACACACATATTACTGTAGATGAATTTTTTGTTATCGTTCTTTTTAAAAATTCATTTGACATCAGGTAGATGGAAGAATTTCTTTTTAGAAAGTTCAAATAACGGTGAATTTTTTATTTGGCATTGTGCGTGAAAAAAATTGAAATTTCGATTTAACACACAACAGCATCAAGGCGATTGGTGAATTTATTATTATTATTATTACATGCATATTAAATAATTTATTGAATAGTAATATATTTTATATCAAAAGAGTGTTTCAATTAATTTAATTCTTTTAGTTTTTAATTTTAAAAACTCCAATTTAGTTAATTGCCATCCATGATCTTGACAACATCAACCGTTGGACATGTGAAATAACGTAATGAATAAGATGCTCGTCTAATGTTAAATTCAATTAATTTAATTCCTCTGTTCTTTAATTTGAAAACTTTAGAAGAGTTAAAAGTTAATAACCTTTTATCACCTCGATAATGTTGACAATTGGATATGTGAATTAACATGACAAATAAGATGCTCGCTTAATGTTAGAGCTTCGACCCCTTTTTAATCTCTATTGCTCATTTGCAGGTTAGTGTTTTTGAATTCATGTGTTGCTAACGTGTCCCTGTGGGGTAAAACTCACTCGCTTTGCTAGTTTGTAGGTTAGATCCCTGGAAATGTTTTCATCCGCTAAAAGGAGTGACTTCTAGAAATGTTTTCATCCATCGCAACCTTTGATAAGTGAGCCCGTTTATAAAGAATTTGGTGGTGCTATATTTATACCCCTAAAAACAAGTCAAAGAATCAAATTTAAAACGTTTGGAGTCCCCCCTGCATGTAGGCATTCTCTACTGTTATTGGATTACTTATCTTTTTTGTTGTATTTAATCCTTTCCTTGAATGTGAGCGAGCACCTTTGTTTCCACTATTGTATCGTGTCTATTAGAATATTCACGATGATTATGCAATGCGTATTCATAATAATTGCATCGTTCGAGCAGAAATGATACTAGAACCATGCAAAATGTAATTTTTGAAAACATTTGGGAAATAAAATGTTGATATTGTTGTTTTAGTCTGATGGTTCCATTGCCTCGTCGTCTAGTTGGTTCCTTCTTTTTTTGTGTGTGTGAGTATGTGAATACGCGCCTCCCAATTGCAAGTTGTATGTAGATCCGAAAATCATTCCCCTTCCAAAATAATAAATCTGATATTATCATAGGTGTCAGATTTAAATAAAAACTTCCCTCACAAACATGCAATCATATCCTCATAACCGTGGAAATTCTTCAGGTAATAATATCAAATGATTACTACCCTTAATAAACTCTTCCACGGGTGAAGTGATTAGAACATGTTAGTAGGCTTTGATCGAATAAAAGGCTTTAACAGCCGTCATTCTTTGAAAACAACCGATTTTAAAAGGCTTTAACAGCCAAAACTCAATTTTAAGGCTTTAACAGCCGTCATTGACAACAAGTCAATCTCAATAAATTGATAATTTTATTCAGGGCCATGGCATCCCCCCCTGAAATAAAATTTTAAATCGCGTCATCGTATCTTCGGGGTCGTCAGTCAGATTAACCTTTGTTACCCAGGAAGATAAAGAATAACTGTAATTTTTAACATCTTCTTTTGGTGTTTCAAGAGCAGCTTCCCCGTCTTCAATACTTAAAAAAAAAATATAATAGTTTATTGAAAGATAATAGACAGTTGATTTAAAATGAGCAGATATAATGTTTTTGAATAATAATATAATAAGTTTCATTTTACGTTACTTTTCGTACCTTACAATGATTAATAAAGAAATATATCGACCGTTTGTCTATTATTATTATGAAGATAACTAACTAACTGTCATCTAAAATTAAAGCCCTTTACGCGGAGAAAAAGCAAAAAGGGGTCACTCCTCAAAACAATAATAATAAATAATATTTTTATTATTCAGTCGTGTTCGTGTTTAGTGATAGACAAATTGCAGATCAAAGATCAAAGGTATAATAGAACGGAAAACTCTATTGTATGTCATCCATCGCCAAATCAAATGGTCAAACATATACATATTCGAAATTTACTTTTTTATAATTGTGCGACGGCAACATTCAAGCAGATAAACAATAAATATACTTTTCTATTACCTATTTATTAATGTTGCCAGGTGGCGCGAAGAACAAATTGGAATTATGATAAAATTTTCCCTCTCAATATTCCGTGTTACCACACATATCGATTTACCAACAATTTGTGAAAAGAATTGATTGACAAAAATCTTTACTATAATGAATAATATTAAAAATAATTTGATAATTGAAAATTTTATTAAGAATCTTGATATTTTAGTAATTAATAAAAATGACAATAACGATAAAAAAATATTATTAGACAAATTGAGTCAAGTAGATAAAATATTGAAGATTTATTATTATAATGATAATGATAATGATGAAAATAATGACGAGGAAGACAAAAATGAGGAAGATAAATTAATAATGATGAAAAGAATATTCGAAATATTTTATAAATATCAAACTAAATTATTAGATATTTATTTATTTATTAACATTAGTGACAGCAACAACAATAATAATGACAGTAGCGGTAGTAGTAAGTTTGTTATTTATTTAATCAAAAAAATCTTATTAAATTGGATCTCGATTTTATCAAATAAAAAGGTAAATTAATTGGTCAACTAAATTAAACAATGGATTCATACTAATAATGGTTTTATTTTTATAATAGATTAAAGATGATTATAATCAAGATTTAATAATAGCAATTCAAAATGATTTAATAAACAAATTATTTGAAATTTATGAAATATCAATTGACAATAATAATAGTAATAGTAATAACCGTTCATCTAATAGCAACAATTTATCATCGTCATCGTCATCATTATTAGTTGTTGAATTAATACTGGAAATATTTTATAAAATAATCAAAGATTTTAGAAAGTCATTGGATTCTTTGTCGACAACTACAAGCAATAATAATAACAATAATGATTGTAATTATAATCATATAGGTTATGGATTATTAAAATTATTAGAAAATAGATTAATCAAAGACAATTTTTACATTAATAAGATTATTCTTGATAGTGGTAGTAATAATAACAGAACTGATAGTAATAATAGTAATGCGGATTATTTTTTAATTTTGATTGTTAATAATATCAAAAAATTATTATATTCATTAAATAATAACAATAATAATAGTGATTTAGATTTATTAATTAAAAATATTTCTAATAAATTAGATTTAATTTTTATAAATGATAATTTCAACAGTGATAATTCCAACGATAGTTACTATGACAGTTGTTTATTATTGTCATTATTATTAAATAATCATCAATCAATAATAACTAATAATATTTTGAATTTTTTATATCTAACAATTAAAACCTCAAAAAATCTAAATATTGTAAGTATTTAATTATTATTTATTTAATTTATTTTAATTATTTATGATATTAATTAATTACATATTATTTTTTAATTTAGTCATTAAAATATTTCAAGATAATTCAAATTTATTCCGAAGAAATATTTAAAAATCCATTTAATAATTCCAATGACAATAATGATAACAATAATAATAGAGAGGAAATAAACGACAATAATGCTAACACAGTTATTATTAAATGGTTAGAAAACTCAATCAAAGAAGAAAACAAAAATAATTATACAGAGTTCATCAATATTAATGACAATGGAAGAGGATTTAGATTGACAATTGAATCGATTAAGCAATTGTTACAAATATATTTAATCATTTTCATTTCATTAATGGATTTATTATTAATAGGAGGAGAAGGGGCAGAAGAAATTATAATACTAAACTTTATTAATAATAATAATAATTTACTAAATCTTTATAAACTAAACTATAAAGGTAATCAATTATTTAGTTAAATAGACAAATGAGATAATATTATTAAAATTTTCTAAATTATTTATTTGTTTATTTTTGTAGATTTAAATTTATCAGATTTTATTTTTGATTGGTATACAAATAATGATAATGACTTAATAAATTTTATGTATGATTTATTATTATTATCTATAAAATCAAAGAAATTTATTCAACATTTAAATAATAATAATAACAACATTCAGGAGAAAAAAAAGTAAATATAATCTTATAATTTATTAAATTTTAAAATTTCTCTTTATTAAAAAAAAATTCTTTTTTCTTAGCAGATATTTATTAGAGCAAATCCAATATCAGACAACACAATTCCTGTCAAATTTAATTTCACCACATGAAATATTTCTAAAGTTTCTTTATTCAATAGGATTTTCATTTGATATATTGTTGGATTTCTTAATTTCAAATGAAACAGAATTTTTGGAGTTTTTTATAACTTATTGTAAATTTATTGAACAAGACATTTGTTCATTTATAAATTATTGTAAAAAATTTGATGATAATCATATTGGAGGAGATGATGAAGATGATGATGAAGAAGATGATGACAGTGATAATGATGATGGTGACGATGTTGATATTGTTGATGTTGTTGTTGTTGGTAATGAATATAATGAAGAAGATGATGATGACAGTGATAATGATGACGGTGATGATGTTGTTGATGTTGTTGATGTTGTTGTTGGTAATGAATATGATAATGAAGATGATAAAATGCACATTTTTGTTAATAATTACAACACAGTCAATAATAACAATTATAGTTTTTTAAAGGCGTTGAAAACATTTTCAAATTTAAAAAATTCAATCCATTCATTATCACTCAAACAATTGTTTCCTTATAATGCTACTTCACTAATTAAAAGATTAAAAAATCTTGAAACTGTCATGATTTCTGCAAAAATTCAATCCTAATTATTGTAAGACTATTTATTAATTAATTATTTTATTCATTATCTATTTATTACATACAACTTTCTTACTATCGTGGATAACCACCACAATCTTTTATTTTTATGAAAAAAAAAAATTTGTTTATTTATTGGGAATCTGTAGATCAAATATATAACAAGCTTTGGCTTGAAACGATATAAATCAAACTAAAACCATTCACCAGTAAAAGCTTATTCAATCTTATCCATCTAATTTACTTGCCACTCTCTTTCCTACCCTAATTGGTATATTTATTCTTGCTTTAAATGGGTATATATCGTTCCAATTTACTCTGTAATTAGCTTTAAGATTTTCGCGTAACAAATTTTTTAAATAATATATGTTGTGCTTGAAAATCGTATAGCCGAATTGTGTGGTGTTTGAGTCAGAACCCTGGTTGATTGGCTAATTTTAATTTAAAGTTCTTTAAATTTGAAATTTCAATTAAGTAATAAATTGATTGGATGATTTAATAATATGATGATCATCACTAATAAGCAATATTTTGTTTGCAAGATATCATCAGTATGAAAATTTTTACTACAACAAAAAAAGTGCCTACACCTATAGCACAAATAATATCTAAATGATATTTAAATGACTATTTCAGATAAAAAAACCATATCCCAACTTAAATTAAAATACTTAACATCCATAATAATACCTCTAATTAATCAAGGGTGACAGACTAGCCTTGAATTAACTGTAGATTATATTCAGAAATTTTCATTTTTTTTGCAATTTTTACATGTGAAACTTAAGTTAGAGAGATTTCACACCCAAACAACCCACCCGCACATTTAATTATAGAATCAACCCTTTCCTGAATAAAAGGTAATTCTAAAAGTGTTTGGGATAGCTCAAAATGATCTTTCTTACTCGTATGATGTTTTCTTATTGATACTTTTAACTTCTTGCCAAATAGTTTTCCTTCAGAGGACATTTCTTTTTCTCCAGAGTTTTGCTTTAAAGGGTAAAGAACTTCCTTCTTCAATTGGTCTTTTTCCTTTCAACTCATCTTTAATCTCAATTAAATAATTAAATCCTTTTCAATTTAACATTATTTTATTCTGTATGATCTCAACAATTTTGACTTTCCAGCTATGCATTTCTTTGTTATTTTTTAAGTTGAATCATTTTTTTTCTCTTTGACATTCCTTGGTTTTCATTCAATTTTGCTTCTCTGACTGGTTCTAGACAGAGACATAGAAGAATTCTTGTGAGGCAATTGAAGGATTTGCGGTAGATGTTCCTTTCCACAAAGGAGTTGAGAACACAGGAATTGAGTATGATTTTGTGAAAGCAATGTGGGAAGGTCCTTTGCTTTTTGTTAAGAATTTTGTGGAATCATGGCAACAGTTAGCATTGGATGTTGAAGAATTTAAGTTGATTATTGTTAAGATATAGAGCACCACTTGCAATCTAAATAATGAAGATAACTAAATGATTGTTTTGATGATTCAAGAATAAGATATTTGCCGATACTGTAAGAGTATTCTAATTTATTTGAAAACTTTAAATTGAGATTCCAAGTTTCCAGGCCAAATGGAGTAAGAGAAGCAAGAATTTGGAGAGGTGGTGATTTGAGAAAAAACTTGTGTTAAGTTCAGATGAGGGTCTTCTGCGGGGTGTTCATTTATAAGCAATTCGTATTTTTGATCTTTAAATTGTATCATTGTTGTTGTTGTTATTTTCCATTCATAGTTTCGCACTTAATTATCAATTTGTCTTGGTAAAATAACTAAAGGAAATCATTGCCATATTTAGTAAACGATAAAAAATTGACAGTATCAAAATATAAAAATCAACATGTATCATAGAATAAACATTTTTAATAATGTATAAAAGAACACTATTTCAATCCAACATATTGTCTTTGATGTAGATAAAAATATATTAAATTAATAACTATTAATCATAGTCTCCATATTAATTTGAATTGTATGTCCCCATACCACCACTGTAATTATTAATATTAATAATAAATTAGTCTTCATACTAACTGTTGTTTCAAATTAAAGAGAATAAAGGTTATTCCACACTACCCACTTCTCTAACCACCAAAAAAATAGAACCTCAAAGGGTGAAGCCCAACATTCGAAATATTTGATTATTACTATATTTACAAACAACCTCGATGTTGTTGGAACATATGACAATGGGATCATCAGGATTATTATGATGATGGTAGATAGTAAATTCCTTATTACATGGCATTTCTTTAAGGACATATAAAATGATGCATTTCAGTAAACGCCAGGGCTGAGTGCGTAACCCTAATGAGACACTTGACTAAACTATTAGTCATATGTTAAGTCAACTTTAGTCAAGACAATTGTTACTAAATTAGGATTTACTTACGCCAGCAGCCCTTGTAAACACGCCAATTGGAATAGACAGACAGAGAAAGATAACTTTTTACTAGGAATTGTATAATTGCTACCTTTAAAAAAAAAATTTTTTCAATATATTTTTTCTAAGAATATGTTGTGCGGCAATTCACACATGTGAAAATTAGATTGGCCAATCAAAGAAAATTTCGCGCCCATACTGGATTTTTATATACTAATTTTAAAAATAACAATCATGAACTAACCGTGAACAAAACAATTTAACCATGAACAGAAACAATTTAAATTTTTTATTTTTTTTTAATAAATAAAATCTTAAAAGAAAAAAAATATATAAAAATATAAAATATAAAAAATCTTATATATAATGTTTTTGTATGTTTCTACATCTATATGCTATATATATATATATATTTAATAATTATTATAACCATTGTTATCATCATCATCATCATCATCATCATCGTCATCATCATCGTCATCATCATCGCCATAATCATAATAATCATAATAATCGTATTTATTCGTATCAAAATAATTTTCATGATAATAAATCATAGCACTACTACTACTACTATTAGTATCGACATTATTATCATTAAGAATATGATTAATAGTACTAATACTACTACTAATGTTACTATTATTAATGTTATCAATATTTTCTCTGCTAACATCATCGACATTATTAATGATGCTATTGTTATTTGCAATATAACTATTTATGTGATGTTGATGACTCATATAAATATTATTACTGTGAATGCGATTGGTTTCTCTGCACCATTCTCTTAATTCTTCACAGAGTTTTGCTCCAATGTATCTGGCTTGGAAATTATCCGCAAACAACTTTAAATTTTGATTGTGTAGAAGTTGGTTTTTCAAAGGTTGTAAATGATTTATGAGAGTCTGAACCATTTCTTGCTCGATATTCGTACACTGACAAATATCGAGTAATTCCAACGAGTTGCAATGATTTAACATTTCCCATGAACCGCATCCTTTGAAATCCACTTGATCGAATGCGATTTGTTGTAATGTTGATGCATGTGACGATAGTGCTGTAAAGAAGACGCGAGTATATCCTTTGCATTTTGTTAATCGAAATGTTAATAATTTTTGTTGTGCTGATATGAAAGATGTGATCTCAGTACCAAACATATCAACATGTCTTTCATTAGAATGTCGAGACCATAATGTATTTATATGCAAATGTTCCTAATAAAATAATAATAATAAATTTTAATTGACAATTCTTTGAGGTTAAAAGGATAATGTAAATATAAATATATCAAGTGTATTTACCACTTGAGTGCAAACTTCTTTTAAAATTTTGATTAAAAAATTTTTTCTGGCAGCAAAGCTCATTTCTAAACTTTTTAATCCTTCAAATAAAGGTTTGACTTGTGGATCTACTAATGAATAATACGGTTCAAGATCAACTTCCAAGTTTTGTAAATCATCATATAAAGCAAGATGTTTTAATTGGGCTTTGGATCTTATGAATAATCTCATTATAATTTTGGCGAGAATGATATCTGCGTTTGGTTCAGATGCGTAATTGAAAGTTGAAGATTTATCTGATAATTCAATGCATAAACGGATTACTGTTTGTACAAAAGATTCATAATTTAATGATCGAATATATCGCGGATATTCAAAAAGAAATGACATGGGTCCCTCTTCTTCTATTAATAAATCGATATCCATTCCATGATCTAATAATTCTTGTTTTTCTTGACCATTTAAAAATCTTAAAAACATTTTAATTATTTTTATGCTTCTATCTTCATCGAAATGGAATGGCTGAGTCCATAGAAAAGGCATGCTGATTCTACACCAATCACGATTAACACGGATGCAATTATATAAATATCCTGAATTATATTTACTATATGAAAAGTTGGATAGTTCAATCACATTTATGATTATATGCCTAATCACGTCATTATTTAACTTTGGTGACATCTTTTTAATTGAAATATTTTAAGGAAAAAAACCTAATTTTGAATTCTTTAAATTATATGAGGAGTGTATATACGTAAATATTTATATTTAAATTCTTAAAATCAAGATTTTAAACTGGTTTTTTATATTTTAATCTGAAATTTTGATTTATAATATAAAAAATATAATTTTTCGATAATGAATTTTTTAAATCGTAAAAAATGAAGACTTTTTTTTCGTCTGGAGAGTCATAAATTCAGGAAAAAATTTACTTCCTTTTATCATCTTTTGAAAATATAATAATAATAATGAATTTTGAATAGTTTCCGTCATTTTCTTTATTTTGATTTATTTTTTCTTTATTTCAAATCACAAAAAATGACGCTATTCAATAGAGAACAAAGAATAATATTATACTATATTTTATTTGTATATATTCGCCCAATTCATTTTACAATAAAGAGATTTTAAAAGTATTTTATTTATTTGTTTGTTTGCTTATTTTATTTTTTTATTTTTTTATATTCATTTCATATTTTATATAATATACATTCCAGATAAGGAAATTTTTAATTTATATTTCAAAAAAAAAAAATTTTTTTTGTGTGAGATTTATTTTATTGTTATGTAAAACCAACCTTTAAACAAAGCAAATTTATCTATCTTTACGATTTATTTATAGTTTATTATATACCGCCTATTTTCTAAATATGTTGCTTAATCTTTTTGAATTTATTTTTATTGAAAAATATACTGCTTATTATTTTTTATTTATATTACTATTTATATTAATTACAATAAAATAATGCCATATGAAATTAATGATTTGGATTGGCAATAAATAATAAATAATGATCGTATAATATAACAAATAATAAATATTGGGAGTTTCACTGAGGAAGAAGAACATGACAAAGACATTAATATATATATATATATATATATTGCATATTTTAGGCTAGCAGTTTTGAAATTCACGTAAAATATTTTTTTTAAAACAAAGATAAAAAAAAAAAAAATAAAAAATACATCATTCGACAACGAAAAAAAATTCAAATTTAGAAAATTTTAAAAATAAATTAAAATGAAAAGCGTGTGTATGAGAAAGAAACAACAACATAACGGGGGTTTGAAAAATGTGTGGAGAAACTTGTAGATGGTTTTAAAAAAGTTCTCAAATAAAATATTTTCAAATTAAAAATTAATGATGAAATGTATCATCATATGTAGTTATATGTAAATATCCATAAAATTTCAGATATATGAAATACATACAGTACAACAATACTCCTACATACCATAAATAGTTTGACAATGAATGTGTCAATTAATTAAGGTAAAGTTTTTTAAAATCTATAAATTATTGTAACGTTTGACATTAGAGATCTTCTTACATAAAACAGAATTTAAAAATTTAAAATTACTAGTCAAAAATAAAAAGTTGAAAATGGTTAGCAATAAGAGAGAGTACAACAAGCAATAATTTAACCGTAATTGGTAATATTTCCATAAATTAAAGAAGAAATTTATTTATCATTCAAATGTATGTTTGGTGTGGATAATAATTTGATAAAGAAAACTTGTTTCCTATCGCATATATACAGCTTCATATACATATATTAATAAATAAATAATAAATATGTAAATTCATTTTCTTTTAATATATTAATTTATCGGATGAAATTTCTTTTTTAGAAAATATTATTAATAAATTAACAATTGATTATATTTTTTGTGGATCAAAAGGATTCAATTCATTTAATATTAACAAAATTAAAGAGATTAACTTTTTCGGGAATTTTTCCCAAAAACTAATATCGCGCGTGTATTACATAATATTTTTACATAATAGAAAAAAGATTGAATTGATTGAATTAACATTAGCCCGAGTGATTGAAGCAACAATATGAACAATATGATTCTCTTGTATCGTTCATTATCATCATTGTCATTCCCATTCATTAGTGTATTAGTATAAAATTCAGTGTGCGGAATGTGCGGGGTGTAACGTCATACATTAGTAATTTTCAGCAGATGATTTGCTAGTTGTACACCATCGTCATTCATTCATTCCTTATTATGTTTAGACAATTTTTATTGGCGAATTTTATATTTATACTGCGGATTCATGTTCATACTGTAACACAATTTTTGTACATGTTCTTCAATCACCAAAAGTATTTTTTATTTAAATGGAAAATTCAAAACTCGAAAATCCTGAATAAATAGTCACTCAACTATATTTATTGTTATACACACACACACACACACACACACACACACACACACACACATCAATAAAGTTTTAATGTGTATCAGGTGATTCAAAAAAATAACTGCTTTTTTCTGTATACATGACTTAAATGCAGAACAATTTTTTCAATTTTTTCAATTTTTACTTCCATTCATAATTTGCTTCTGAATTAGCATTTTTGATTCCAGCCAAATTAAATACAGAAAAAATCAAAGTGACATAAATTTAATTCAATGAATATGGTCCACAACAATTCTGATGCATTCCATTATGTATTTCCATATATAATTTAACTTTGTATTTGCTTCTTAGAGAATCATCATTAACCACTACTACATATATAAAGGAGAGCCTGGACAATGATAGCTCTTCCAAATGTCAATGTATAAGAGAGGTAAATATGGAAATAAAGACACTTGACATAAATGATTGGGCTGGTAGCTACAATCATCATAAATAGTTGTTGTTAGCTACTATTTGCTGCAAATAGTTACAGCAGCCACAAATAACTCAAAAGGTTTTCAAGATTAATATAATTATTAACATTATTATATTAATAATGAGAAAATTTTCTTGATTTATTTGTGATCTGCAATAACTAAAATTTTCAAATTGTAATTGATGAATTCAATTGCTCAGTTGTTCATTTACAGTGAAATCATGTGTAAAAATAAAATTTGCAATTATTTGCAGCAGCTGTATCTATTTGTAGCAACCATAGCTATTTGCAGCAACTGTAGCTATTTGCAGCAGCATATCTGTTTACAGCAGCCATAGCTGCTTGCAAACAGCAATAAATATTTTATAATGGTAACTACCAGGGATAACTACTCTATGGTAGTTACCATTGCCACAAATAACCAAATATGGCAGGTGCCTTTGTCTAGAAAATTCTGATAATAGTAATGAGAAAAATAACGATGAAAATGATAACATTCCAAGGAAGAAGATGATGGTAAGAAATGGATCATATGTGACACCAAATTGAAAAAAATATCAATCACATGCAGAAACTCCTTGATCAAGAAGGTCAAGAAGCTACAATAGCAATTCATCACTTTGTGATTCATCAGATTCTGACATTGACAACAACCTTTTCAGAGCCAATGCTGTGTGTCCTGAAACTCTTAGTTAGAGTTAAAGATGGCTCTGTAACTAGGAAGTTGAAACCCAAAAAATATTGACATCTAATGCTGCAGTTGCTGTAAGTCTACAATTGCCACAACTGTCTGCAACTGTCTGCAATTGTATATGCTGATTATTATGAAGTTTTAACTGATTATCAAGCCAAATGTCCAAAGTTGCATGAACTTAAAAAAGCATGCATCAACAGAATAATAGAATACAATAGAACACAATCAGGCTTGTTTTGAGAAGCATTTCCAATTATAGAAAAATGGGAATGTTTTGAAAAAGAATGGACTCAAATTGAATTCTATCTGCTCATCATCTTTCTTAAAGAATTGCATCAAAAAAATGTTTAGAACTTCATCATACAAAATATCAAGATGAACCAATTCCTTTAATATATCAGCCAAGAGATGTACACAAGCAAAAATGTCTTGTTTCAATTTCTGGCTCATCCGAAATACAGGAATTAGTAAAAAATGATATAGTATAGCTCAATTCACCTAAAACCGACCAATTTTATTCAGCATTTTCAAAGCCCATCACATGGACACATAGAGCACTTTTGGATTCAAACTCTTCATAGTTTTATATAGTAAATGTCAAAGAATAATCTATGAAAAGTTTGATGTAAAATATTTATTACTTAAAAAGTTATTGTTGTTTGAATATTAGTGACTTTCTATATTTTAAACAATGTTTATCCTAAATTTTGCCACCTCTTCCATAGATCTTTAACTATTAAGGAATGGTCTTCACCCAAAATTTTTTAATTTTTTTCATGATGATGGTTTAGGAAAGTATCATTTCCTATTTAAGAAATTTTATTTACTGAATTAGAAGTGATATTCTAAAATTTGAAATTTTGTCAGGTTTTGCTATAGTGGTCGGGTTTAGATGACTTGAGCTGTACAGTCTAAGCTCTCTATACCAAACCCTGTCCCTATGTGTAATTTTTCTGCTTTTGTTTGTTATAAAGAGAGAAATTGATAAAAAATTGAATTGGGGACAAAAGGGAAGTTTGTTATAGAGAGATTTTACTTAGTGTTTGTTATAGAAAGGTTTGGTTAGACTGTATATTTACCATTAAATGCATTTCCTGAAATATTTATAAAAGAAATGTTAAGCATGAAAAAATACTTGATTAGGATCTTGGTTATGCTATGGCAATACATACTAGTCAAGGAATGACTCTCAAGGCTCCACAATGTGTTTGGGTCATTGATGAACATTTGGCTTGGGATGATTTAATATATCTTGCAATTGATTGTGTAAAATATTTAAATCACCCTATTCAGATTGAAGATCCACCATTACTATTACTTCTGAGGTTAAAGAAAAACTTGATAATGAAAGAAAAAAGAAAATTGGTGAGTGCAGATTAAGAGGATTAATTCAAGAAAAACTTATCAGATATTATTATCAGGATAAAGATAAAAAGTCAAGAATTTGGTTTAACCGTTTTGCATTGAAAGATTCACAAAAAAATAAATATAAATGATGTCTTAATGAAATAGGAATATGAAAACATGGACCCATATCAATGGACAGTTGATTGAATATATAACAAATTGGGACATATCAGAGGTAATGTACAACTTGTAAGTTTAGAATGTAATTAGCATCATCAAGTCATCAAGTCTCAATTGACTGATATAAATGAAAGTATTAATACAGGCTTTATTTAAACCATAATATTAAAGATTTTTTTTTCTTAATAATAATACATAGTGAATTTCAGTATAATGGATATGATTGTTCCAGGAAATCTATCCACTAAACTGAGATATCTGTAAAAAATCAAATGTTTGATTAAATCATGTGATACATGTTACATTAAAAAAATAAATTTTATTTACACTGATTCAAAAAAAATGGTGGTTGCTTATTTTGAACCTGTTAAGGGTAGAGTATACGTAACACAAATTTTACTATGATACAGTGGATAATTTTTTGGCTGCCGATCATTAAAATAT